ATCGTGACAAGTGTTCTCTAAGGTGAATATTAAACAGCTATTCCAAATTAATTATAGTTTTACTTGCCAACTCACAGGAAGTATCATTCATATTTTAAAGTTAAAGAGAATCAGGTTATATATATATATATATATATATATATATATATATATATATATATATATATATATATATATATATATATATATATATATTAATCACATGTCTCTTGTTCATGATACATTGCAGAATATCTAAATCTAGAAAATGTACATTTATTATCAGTATTACTAGATAAGCCTGCCATTCTTGCACAACCTACAATTTATTTCCTAGTTTTTAGCAATGAAGGTTACACTATTTGATATAATAAAACCCTAAAAAGGAGAAAGAAGATATTTGATATAACGTAAGGGTTCTGAAAAGTCAATTGATTCAAATACAATTCTTATCAAAGGCCTTAAATTAGTTTGTCGGAAGTCATACAATTTCTCGAATAAAATAAGAACCATCTGCATCAGTAAAAATAGACAAACAAGTACATATAAAGATAAATGAATGATTGATACGACCTTATCAAATGCCGAAAGGAAAAAAGTGGAGCGAATATTTGCATTTTAAAGTATACTCGTGTCTTCCTTTTTATTCTAATTTGAATCGAAAGCTTACTAAATTTCTAAATATATATATATATATATATATATATATATATATATATATATATATATATGTGTGTGTGTGTGTGTGTGTGTGTGTGTGTGTGTGTGTGTGTGTGTGTGTGTGTGTGTGTGTGTGTGTGTGTGTGTGTGTGTTGGTGTGTGTAAACAATAATCCGTAAACAATAATCTAGTGGATCAAAATAATTACAACATATTTGTTTATTGGTTTACCCCATCCGAAAAGAAATGCCATGACCCATTCCTCCTTTTACGACTTTAGAATTTCTTCTTTAGTTTTTTTATTCGGGTCGCTTTTATTCAATTAGAAGGGTATCTGGTCTCCTTTTATTCCAATTTATCTTATTTTTATTCCAGTTGTGTTGGATTTTTTTTTTATTTTCCACACATCTCAGAGGAGAAAATGCGATAATTGGAGGATATTTGAATGAACACGTTCTAGGGATGGTCTCCCTGAGTGCTATGAGATATAAAATAATGAATCCGTGTCAATACATACATACACACACACGCGCACACATATATATATATGTGTGTGTGTGTGTGCGCGTGTGTGTGTATGTATGTATTGACACAGATTCCTTATTTTATCTCACTGGTATTCAGGGAGACCATCCCTAGAACGTGTTCATTCAAATTTCCTCCTATTATCGCATTTTCTCCTATGAGATGTGTGGAAAATTAAAAAGGCCAACACAACGTCTATTGGAATAAAATGAGACCAGCTACCCTTCTAGATTGAATAAAAGCGACCCGAATAACTGCCGTAAAAGGCAGACAGACAGACAGACAGAGACAAAGAGAGAGACTGACACAGAGAAAGAGAGAGAGACGAGAGAGAGAGAGAGAGAGAATGAGTGAATGAATGAGTGAGAGAGAGAAAGAGAGAGAGAGAGAGAAAAGTGCGTTTCCACTCGCATTCGACAATTCGTGTTTGTCCCTGCCTCTGACTCGTGTTTGTCCCTGCCTCTGCCCCGCCGAGCCACCGCTACCCTCTCCTCTCCCAGCAGATCGCGAGCAGGGTGCCGTGCCCTCAGAGTGGCCGTGCCCTAAGGATCTCCATCGCCACAGCTCCTTCATTATGATACACGAAGACCTTCAAGTGTATTGTGTACATGTCTGACGTCGTTCTGAATCCTTCTTGTTGTTTATGATGATGAGTGCAGTGCGGTGGCGGCAGAACTGGTTTCATTCCAAAGTAAAAAAAAAAAAATAATAACAATAATAAAAATGATATCATGACTCTGGTTAATAATTATTTGAGATCGCTGCCCTACGAAGTTTGATAAATTGAAGGTGTATTTTCATGCACCAGTGCAAACGCCCAGCTCTTTTCCAAGCAACAGCGAGGGTCTAATAAGATTTCTCGGTACTTTCAAGCACGTTCAGGAAATGATATCCTTAGACTCAAGAAATTGATGAAAAGGGTTTACTAGTTTGATTGATGAAATGCGAACGATGGTTTAAAGTACTACATTGTTTGTTTTTGTAGTAAAGATAAAAACCGAGGATATCTTCGCGGGGTTAGGGTGGGCTGGGGGAGGGGGACGACAAGGATGCGGCCCGTGGACAAAAGGAAGCGAGAAGGTCCACGCCTTATGTCTTTCTTCCCAATGAATCAATTCCTTTGGTAAAAATTGATTAAACAGTTGACAACAATGAACACAATCACATAATAAGATACCTGCAGCACACGTAAAGCGTAGTAAGTTAGCGTGGTGATATCAGCATCACAAAATGAAGGAAATCAGACACGCTGACTGGACGGACGCCAGCAGGTGTTCCCGGTCCGCAGACTCGCCATCCTGAAGAAGTGACAACGAGCGACCCTCTCACGCTAGCACTTTTACCCTCATTTTTATTTCTGTTTCCGCATATATCTGAGGTCTTCCCCGCGCCTTCCTTTCAGACTCCCCGCCCATGGTCAGTGCAGGTTTATATTGTTGTTTTTTTCGAATTTCCTTACCTGGTTCTCTGTGGCAACGGCGGAGGCCTTCGTTGTCGGCGTCGCTTGCAGATTCGTGTATTTACTTATTACTCCGTTTACTTGTCATGCCTTATGCACCTTGTACGTGGTTCTACTATTGAGACTTGTTGATTTTTATCTGCCATTCGTCTTTTCCGCTTTCCACTGCTCGTCACGCAAGCTCTGGCTCACGTCTGCTTGCAACTCTGATCAACACGCTTTACTGGATTCCTTGCTTGCTCTAAGAAAAAAAAAAAAAAAAAGATCGAGGTTCTCCTTGACTGATTTAAGATGACGGTGCATCTCCTCTTCACTCTCTTCGAAACACAAAAAAGTTGCACAGTTCTCAAGTTCGTTTTCTAACTCTTATTTTGAGGTGCCTTATGCTGCACGATCTTCGAGTTTGCCAAGTTGCCAACCTCTATAAAAATAATACTCGTCTATCCTTGTGTATTTTCACTTATTACAAGAAGATTTATGGAATTTATAGAAGCTCTTGTAAAAAAATGAAATATGCAACTTTCAGTATGCAATATTTTCCAAGTTTTAGAAATATACTTTCTTCCTAGGTTTCAAATAAATACATACAAACACATTTACGGGTGTCGTGACAGACAGAGAGAGAGAGAGAGAGAGAGAGAGAGAGAGAGAGAGAGAGAGAGAGAGAGAGAGAGAGAGAGAGAGAGAGAGAGAGAGAGAGAGAGAGAGAGAGAGAGAGAGAGAGAGAGAGAGAGAGAGAGAGAGAGAGGAGAGGAGAGAGAGAGAGAGAAGAGAGAGACAAAGAGAGGAAGGACGGGAATGAGAGAGGAAGAAAGAAAGAAACAGAGAGAGAGAGAGACAAACACAGAGAAGAGCCGAAACATGTAAAACAGATCCGATAACGATTTTATTGTTCTATCGGCATTATAATGGCTAATCTTCCTACCATTATCAACATATCATATATATCATTATCATTATGTATGATATGAGACAGACAGAGAAAGAGAGAGAAGGAACGCCAACGAGAAAGAAAACAAGTGATGAAACAAGTGAAAAAGGTACGAAGAGGTAGAAATACCAATCAGTAGACGTATAATGACGAAGAAAAAAAAAAGAAAATAAACAAAACAAAGAAATCAAGAAGAGGACAGAGATTAAGATCAAATAACAAAAAAGGCAAAACAAATAATAAAAAACGCAACTTCATAACAAGGCCCAAAAAGAGAGAGAATAAATGTATACAAGATAAGGAAGAGATGAATACCATACATTGTAGAACAACGAACATTTCTGGAACACCTGTGCGAAAGAACACCTGTGCCAGCATGAACACGTGAACTGAACACAGAAATGAACGGCGTGTCGATCGTGAGGGAGTGAGGCAAAGGAAGCATTGTGAGTTTGAGGGGAAATGAGAGAATGAAGCAAGGGAGATAGAATGAGGGAAGGATTGAAACGGAGTGAAAATGAGGAGAGAAGTGAGGATGTAGATTGTACAGGTGAAAGTGAGTGAATCTGTAATTAAAAGATAATAATGAAATGTAAAAAATGAGACTATATGGTAGCAGAGGTGAGAGAATGCGACTGTGAGGTTAATGGAATAATTAATTAAGAACGTGAGGGCGAGAAATAAAAGAAAAACTGTATGCGTGACATGGACATACCAGGCTGTTATTTTTGTTGTTAATATTATCATTATTACCATTATTATCGTTATCATTATCATTGGTATTATCATTATTATCATTATCATTATTATTATTATTATACTTATCATTATCATTGCTATCATTACCATCATTATCATTATCAATATTACTTTCATTACCATCATTATCATTATCATTATCATAACTC